TGACAGTCTTCCCAAAATCAATTTGAAAATTTTTTTAATGAATTTTTGAAGAAAATTATCCCTTTTGACTATTTTAATAAGCTAATTTAGCAAAACGAAGAAAAGTTTAACATTTTAACAGGCAGCAAGAAGTTAATCAATTTTGCTTAAATTTAAGCAAAACGGCAACGCTGATGGTAAATGATCTGATTTGTAAATATGCCTTTTCCACATATTCATGTATATACATACATATATGCATACATATGTAATAAAAATAAATAAATGAACGAGCACAAACTACATAAAGATATTTGTTGCACTCATAACCGATTGTGAAAGAAACAGCGGAGTTGAAGTGGAATTTTTAGCGAACGCGCAAATAGCAAAGATAAATAGAAGAGCAGCTCATGAAGTATGTATGTACATATGTCCACACATGTGGGCATACATATGTACATATATATATGAATGTATGTATGGATATAAAGTAGGAATATGGGTACATATTTAATATATTATAGGGGTATTCTCGCAGTCTTGCAAAGTCCTTGCTCGGTGCATAGATTGCACGGAATTCATGGTAAAATCTGGTTTACGTATGGGACAGCTTTGCAAACCGTGCAATCTGTGCACCGCGCAAAACTCAGAGAATACCCCTTATAAATATAAGAATTGCATTTGCAAAAAAAATTTAATTATTGATGTAAGTAGATAAGTACGCACCTAAGCTATAGACAACCTACTCGTACATACATATGTATGTAACTAATCAAAGCAAATGAAATAAATAAATGAAATCAATATACATACATATGTACATATCTACACATTGGTAAAACACTCGTGCCGCTCGGCGGGCCAGCGCAATGTAAATGACAATGGTGATAATTGCAACGGCTAGCGTTATCACGACCGGCTTAGTTAGTTGTTGTTTTAGTCGTGCATATGTTTGTACATACATACGCAAACATATGTTATGCAAATTTGACGGCTTTTGTTTTCCTAATGACAAAATGACTAAATTTCAGTTGTTAGTTAAAACTTTGTTAGCATTGTTTTTGTTAGCTTAGGGTGCTAATATTTTCGTGTGTTCATTGGTTTATTGACTCGATTGCCCACAACTTTTTTTTTTTGGTGATTTTTGGTTTTTGCTTTGTCTCTTCGCTACGGTCACTTGACAACTTCGATTTTGACATTTATTTACATTCGTTTGACAAATATTTGCATTGGCAATGACAAGTGTACCTTTAAGAGACATACAAGTATGTACATATGTACATACATATTTATGTAGTTTTGTTTGTATAATTGTTTGCAATTTAATTAGCTAATATGATTAAGTGTTCATATCATAACTGAAATGTACGAAATCGCTGTTGAATATATTGTACATATGTATGTATGTATATTCATATGATTACATTTGTTTAGTATCTTCAAACTTTAAAAATTCCAATGCTAGACGAATAATATTGGCCCACATGCATAAAAAGTCAGCATACGCTCCGACTCGATTTTCAATACAAATTCTTGAGTTTCAGCTCACTCCAACAGTAGAAAAATTGAGTCTGGGCTTAAGCTCACTTTTTGTGCATCACCCGCATTATTTTAAGAAACTTATTTTACCTATAAATGGTAACCAAAAGGGACATAAGTAATCGCCTGTGCTGATCCCTATAAACGAATATGATCCGAATACTGGGAACTATTTTCCAAACGGACTCTTTTTACCCTATGTCGTGACTGCTATTTTAAAAGAAACACAAAACGTTTGATGAAGGTGTAAAGCTCACAAATAAATAATAACAAATGATTTGCAGCGGATAGACACACCTCGCAGCTTTCCTTATTTTGTAGGTTTGTAAGCGGAGCTGAACTACTCCTCGAACGTAGACAAATCTCTGGTAATTCAAGTTCAAAATGAAGATCTTAAAATTAAGTATTCGCTCAACCTTAAACGCGTAGGAAAGTCGAAATTGGTGGAAAAAAACGGAAAAATTAGTATGGAACGAAATTTTAAATAGCATTTCGTCAGTATAGTATGGAAAGTGCGTAAATGAAAAAAGGCCACAACTAAATAAAATTTTTTTTTGAATAAAATGATGTAGGATCTTATAATACGATGAAATGCATCATAAGCAATCAAAAAAAGAATTTTGGATTTTTGGTTAGTTACGGCTTTTTGTTTTCAAGCGAATTTCCTTCTCTAAATAATAAAACTCACTTAATCCTTGAGGCACTTCTTAATGAATGATAGTTAAAAAAGTACAACATGAAACTATGTAGTAGTTTATATATAACGACGACCATTTTTTTACCAAAAAAAAAAAATATTTTACAAAAAATAAGATCGACACTATTTTTTAATGTAATGCAACGGTCCAGAATATCCAAAATTTTTTAGATGCAGAATAGGAAAGCTCACAATAAAAATATCGCCCGTATTCTCCTTTATAAATACATGTTTTATAAGTGGAAAACTATCAACTATGTAACAGCCTTTTTTATCAATGGAATTTACGAGTAAAAAACTAACACTTGATGTACTTTTTTGTTATAAAAACTACAAACTTTAAATATTCCAAAGAAAAGTAAATATTTCTTTGAATAACTTAATCTTCTCAACTACTGCGCTATGAACTGTATTTTTAAGAGGAAACTGGTAGTTTTTGTATATTTATTCCTTAAGTACTTAACCGACGCGATAAGGCA